TGAAGTTGTATAGAACTGTTTTGAGAAATTATATGCCGCGGTATTTGCAAATCATTTATCTCATGAAGTTGGTCTTTGAAATGATTCCAAGATGTTTGCAGATATAATGGGATAGATTCGTCCCAAGATAGCTCAATTGCCATAAACGCTGCATTATAAGCTTAGCTACAACTACAATTGGCGATAATAAACCCAGTGGATCAAAAATTTTGGATACTAAAGATAAAATGTTACGTTTAGAATTTATCGATTTCATATTTGAGAATATCAAGTGAAGGATTCCACACGACTCCAAGAGTTGATCGGTTGATAGATTTATCAAAAGAATGATTTGTGTCATTATCTATAGTCTCAGCCAAAATAGAAGGAGCATTTGACATCCACTTTCTCAATTTAAAACCACCTTGATTTAAAATATAAGATATTTCATTTTTGATTGTTAGAAGCTCCTCTATTGTTTCCATACCACATAAGAGATCATCCATATAAAAAGAATTCCGAATAATATTTGAGGATACAGGATATTTGACTTCATACAAATCAGCAAGTTCTTTCAATACTCTAATTGCCAAGAAACTAGCCGAAGCTGTACCATAAGTTTTAGTATTGAGAATAAAACATTTTACTTCTTCCTTGAGATTCTATGATAATGTCTATCGGATTCAGAAATAAAAATCTGCCTATACATTTTCTCACAATCGTCTGTTAAAACATATTTAAAAATGCGAAAATTGAGGAATAAAGTGAATAGATCTCTCTGGATAACAGGCCCCACCATCTGAACATCGTTCAGAGATAAACCTGAACTGGTTTTTGCGGATGCATCAAATACAACCCGCACCTTTGTCGTGGTACTAGATTCTTTCTGTATGCAATGATGTAGAAGATAGCAAGATTGATCTAAACCGAAAGATTCTTCGATACAAGACGTGTCCAAGTTTTTCATATTCCTGTAGAAATCCATCATATTCTAATTTAAGTTTTGGATTTTTTGAAAGTTTTCTTTCAATGTTATATAGACGTTTTAAAGCCATTAATCGAGAGTCCCCTAATTCAGAAATATTGTCTCTAAAAGGAATTTTAACAATAAATCTGCCGTCAGGGTCCCTTTGGTGATTTTCAATAAAATGTGCCTCAATAAGACAATCCTCTTGGCTTAATTGCTGATAAGGGTGAGGAACTTCTTCAAGTTCCCAAAAAGAAGATACTGTCACGGCTTTGGATTGCCTGACAGAAATTTTGGGTTCGGTTCGTTTATTCCAAAAATCAAAGTCCAATTAACACAGCAATAATTTATTCCACGTAACAATACACTCTAACACTAATTACTTTAATAACTAACTCAACAATCAAACTATTTACAACTCAACAATCACTATTTAACTCGTATCACAGTTAAACTTTAACTTAAACTTAAAGAGCAAGAGCGGCCTTTTATATGTATATCCCTAAATCTATTCCTGTATAATCTAGAACACACACGATAATCCTATTTTTCGATTATAGTAGAATATTTCGCTAGATTCCAGGATATTCGACATCAAATTCTTGACAGCCTGGCGGACGCCTATTCTAGCAACAGCGTTTAGCATTATTGTAACACTGCCCTCCTCTTAAAGTTGATCGCGACGATCAACTTCGCGCCCATGATATTTCGCCGATCTGTCCAGATGTACAACTTTCATCTTACTCCTGGTGTTGCGCTGGACTCGATAAACCAAATCATTGATCCCCTTGATTATTTTGTAGGGTCCCTCCCATGCTGAAGACAACTTCGGCGATACTCCTTTCTTTCTAGCTTGATTATACAGCCACACTAAATCACCTTCTTGAAATCCGGCTGAATTGGCTTTCAGGTCGTATCTGTCTTCATCCGGTCACTGGCTAGTAGAATATGCTCCCGAGCAAAATCATGGATACCCAGAAGTCGTGCCCTTACTTCGTCGGCATAATCTCGGATTTCTCTACGTCCTTCTTCAGGTATCCCAAACATCAGATCGCAAGGTAACCTGAGTTCTCTTTCAAAGACGATTCTGGCTAGACTTCCACCTGTTGACTCGTGAACAGCTACTCTATAAGCCATTAAAAATAGAGGTAAGTGTTTGTCCCAATCACGCTGGTTCTTTGCGACCACTTTTGCCAGGTGTTCCTCTATGGTCTTATTAAATCGTTTTACCATGCCATCAGACTGTGGATGTAAAGGTGTTGTCCTGGTCTTACGGATTCCCATGATCTCACAAATTTTCTTGAAGATGGCAGATTCGAATTTTCGTCCTGAATGTAACTCTAGTGGCACACCATGACGACTAAAAACTTCGTCCACTAGCACCTAGGCAACAGTGATGGCTTCTTGATTGGGAATAGCGAAAACTTATGGCCATTTACTGAAGTAATCCATGATTTTTTTTAATTTGATTTGGTTTTAGAGAAGGAATAAGCACTGAAGATGCCATCTCAACTCTAACCAAAAAGTTATACAGTTCCATAGACAGTAAAAAACCTACATTGGCAATATTTATAGATCTAGCGAAGGCTTTCGATACTATTTGTCACAAAATTCTACTAGAAAAATTAGATGGTATTGGCTTTCGTGGTATACCATTGGCATTGATGCAAATTACTTCACTGACCGAGAGCAAAGTGTTACCATAGGTGAGGTAAAAAGTGAGAGCAGATCTGTATCTTGGGGTTTGCCCATACTATTCATTATCTATCTCAACGACTTATTAGAACTTCCACTTGAACTTGTGGCCTTCGCGGATGACGCTGGACTTGTAATTACTGGTGATACTTGGGGGGAAGTTCAAGATAATGCTTCAGACTGCCTGGAAAAAGTCAAAGACTGGTTTGACAATAACTATTTAACAATGAACACGGAGAAAACTAAATTTATGCCCTTTAGCTCATACCAAAATACCCTTTCAACATTCACTAAAATAAAAATAAAAAACAGTGGTTCAGAAATAAAAAGAACAGACTCGACAAAATATCTCGGTGTTCTTCTAGATCCGCACTTAACATGGCGAAAACATATTAACTCCATCCTACAAAAGTGTAGATATATTCTGTAAGCATTCAAAAAAACAAGTAATTTTTTGAGTCAAAAACAACAAATTATAATCTATAATGGACTTATAAAATCTATTATCAAGTACGGTATGCTTTCTTGGGGATCAGCCTCAAAAACAATAATAGAACCACTTGAAAGAATTCAAAAAACTATACTAAAAACTGTTTTTAAAAAGGATATACGCTTTCCTAGTGTTGAACTCTACGATATCTGCAAAAAAGAACTCATTCTCCAAGTCAAACAAATCTTTGTGGAAGCGTTAATAAACTACCAATTTAAGCAAAACCGCCATCAACCACAACTAACTAAACATAATTATCAGACTCGGGATAAAAACCAACTTAATACTACACGAGCCCTTAAAACAAAAGGGACAAAATGTCACACATACCTCGCCCCTAGATTTTACAATATATCTCCAGATTACGTCAAAAACAGCACACGCAGGAATCGCAAGAAACAAATTCAGAATTGGCTTTTAACACTTAACACGTTTTGAGTGAAGCTTATACTTTAGGTGTCCCTCAACTAAGTATTTTCCGTTGCACAGTCGTTGAACCGGCACAAGGTAGACTTAAATGAGAGCAAGATAAACCGAAGATTTCTTGGGCTTAAACTTTGGACAAGGGGAACCCTTGCAAACGAAATAATCCTTAGGGTACACCTCAGATTTAGGTTACACTTACGTAGGAGTAAGTTTTGAGGGGAGCCCGTGCAAACGGCCATAAGAAGTAGTATTTATATTTTTGTCAAAAACCACTGGACATTAATGTATTAGGTTCACTTTGATCACAGTGATCTGCGAATGCGAGAATAAATAGGACACATAAAACATAGGTACCTACCTACAGAGATAACTAGAAACTAGTCTAAGCAAGGCAGGATAAGAATTTTCCGGAAAATGATAATTGTAGCTTGAGCAATTAAAATATAAAGTTACTTTTGTCGAGCGGTAAATTCAAATGCGGGCGATAGGTTGGTGGAAACGTGCGGTGAAACAATGTCGAATGGATGCCATTATATTATAGGTGTAGTTATTTCATTTTTGAACTAGAAGAGTCCGCTGCGTATAAAACGTAATAAGTTAGGCGTTAAGTATCGTTAACCACACCCTCATGCGGTAAATGACACCTTCCGCCATTAATACCTAAATAACTATTAATTATATTCGGCCTCGTCTCGTAAATAATATCCTATGTAGTACCTTCGTCTCTGGCGCCATCGATCACATCTTTTAAAGTAAACAGCACCCCCTGTCCTTCGGCCCCCGGGTGACCCAGGCGCATTCTTCAGTCTTCAGTTTTGTGCGTTAGGATCACGTCGCGTCGTGCTGCTAAATTGATTTTTGAGTACGCATATTTCGAAATTATTAATTATTATTTGGTTTTTCTGTATTGTTGTTCGTTTGCGCAAGTTGTGCAATGCCGCGATCGTCGCGTAGTCGCTCTCCGCGAGGGGATACTAAAGGTATTATTAGGATGTTGAAAAAGTTAGAGCGACGAATGGATAAATTTGAGAATTCGAAGAGGAAGCGGTCACCGAGTTTTAGTTCAAGTTCGGGAGGTTCGGGTTACGGCCCAAGTTCCTCGAAAAGGCGTCATAAACATCCGAGAGCCAACGAAAGAGCTTCGGACTGTGATTCCCCGAACAGTAAATCTGATGAAGGTAATTAATATTATTATACCTATATTTTTTTTTTCATGGATACTTTAATCCAAATGACATGCGTTGCCTTTGAGCATGTCTGAATCGCAGTCGTATCGTCTGTTTTTGATAACAGAATTCGACATGAAATATGTAGTTTCTCCTAATATGCTGTATGGCCGGTTTTGATATCGACCTCTGCTTTTGACAGCAGAATGTGTTATCGTTCTTTTGATAGAACGTACACACTATATACATATATGCATGCTTTGAGGAAATGCTTTACTGGAATATCGCATCAGCGCAATCATTGGTCTTTCTATTTTTTATTTTTTATTGTTTATTTCTTCTGTCGGTTTTTGACAACAGAATTGGGTATGGTTATTGTGAAATACCAAATCCACCAGTAATTGTTTCATTTTCCATGTTCTGATGACATGCGAAAATATGTCGACTGTTTTTGATAACAGAATTAAATGGGCCATTTAATTTATTTATTTATTTTTTCTCCCTCCTTCCAGAGGAGGATGTATCCTCTGATGCTGACACCGGTCTAGAAAACGCCTCTTCTATACCGAGTGGCCCGACCGAGGTACCTGCTGAGGTATCTGCCGAAGTACCTGCGGAGGCTCCGACCCTCAATAAAGATATTCTAGCGGTACTAGGGGATGAGATTGACATCGCCAAAGTTTATGGACCCCCAGTCCATCAACAGATTGCGGATAGATAGCTCCACATTTCAAAATCGGGGTTAGAAAGCGAAAAAAGAAAGGAGTTATTATTAAAATATCCCGCTCCCGATAACAGCCGTTATTTTGAGGCTCCAAAATTAAACCCTGTGGTTACTCAGGCCATCAATGAGTCTGTTTTTAAAAGAGACGAGCGACTGAGGGATAAACAGGCACAAGTCGGCGTGAGTCTTGCTGCAATAGGGTCGGTAATTTCCCAATTATTGGAAAAACAGGAGGGGGGTGAAGACAACAAGGCCATTATCGAACGCCTTAGCGATGCCGGTCGACTTTTATCAGACCTTCATCACTCAGAAAATACGACTCGAAAGGATTTGGTTTCCCTTGATCTCAATAAGGAGTGGAAAGACACTTTATCAGAGTCTGTCAGCGATGAATGGCTTTTTGGAGGGGATTTGGAAGATAGACTCAAAAATGCCAAGAACATTCAGAAGTCTTCAAACCAACTGAAAGTTAATAAAATTGCTCCTAGGAAGGCTTATGGTGCAAGGAGCTCGAGTTCTTTAAACTCGCAAAGTCCACTCAAGAAATTTCGGGGAACAATGCAGAGTGGACGTTATCAGCAACAAGTTCCCACCAGCAAGTATCGCCAGCATCACCGTCCACGTCGTCAAGAGAAGTACAACTCCGACAAGAGGTATCGTCGGAAGTAGGGGTAAGAAGATCAGCTGGAAGATTAACATATTTTGCTAGTCGCTGGAAAAAACTAACTAATAATAAGCTTATCTTATCTTGGTTGAAGCGGGTTAAATTTCCTTTCATTAAGAAACCCATACAGGCTTTGACGCCTGAAGAACCAAAATGGTCTTCAAGGGAAAAAGATTTAATCTCTCATTCCATTGAAAAAATGTTAAAATCTGGAGCACTATCTAAAGTTCAAACTTGCAAGGGCCAATATTTATCAAAATATTTTCTGATCCCAAAGAAAGATGGTACTTCTCGTTTTATATTAAATCTCAAAAACCTAAATCAATACATACAAACAAGCCACTTTAAACTGGAGGATCACAGAGTGGTTGCCAGGTTAATCGGCCGTAATTACTTTATGGCAAAGATTGATTTACAGGAGGCTTATTTTTCGGTTCCAGTCGACGAAAGGCATAGAAAATTTTTAAGATTCTCATTCAATGGCCATATTTATGAGTATAACTGTCTTTGTTTTGGTATAAATTGCGCACCTATGATTTTCACAAAACTTTTAAAACCTGTAGCTCATTATCTTAGGAAGAAAGGTTTTCTTTCAGTAATCTATCTAGACGACTTTTTATTGCTAGGCAATAGTAATAGAGAGTGTTTAATAAATGTGTCACAGACAGTATCTATTTTGGAGCATCTGGGTTTTATTATTAATTATGATAAGAGTTTGCTTGTCCCAAGCAATATATGTGTTTACTTAGGTTTTGAGTTTAACTCTATAGACCTGACTATCTCGGTTCCTGAAGATAAACGTAAGGAACTAATACTAATGTTGCATCAGTTTAAAAAATTGAAACACTGTAAAATAAGGAATTTTTCAAAAATTATAGGTAGATTGGTCTCTATCTGCCCAACCATAAAATATGGCTATCTATACTCTAAATTGTTCGAGCGAGAAAAATATTTAGCTCTCAAAAAATCGCATGGAAATTATAATGCTAGCATGCAAATTTCAGATAGCTTAAAAGATGATTTAAATTGGTGGATAGCGAATTTAAAAGTCAATAAGAATTTTTTAAAGAAAGGCAGCTACGCCAAGGAAATTTTTTCAGACGCGTCTAATACGGGATGGGGAATCTACTGTAACGGTAACAGTTCCCACGGTTTTTGGTCGGAGGAGGAAAAAGAGCAGCATATAAATTATCTGGAACTCCTCGCAGTATTTTTCGGTCTGAAATGTTATGCCAGGGATCTAAAAAATTGTTTTATACTCTGTAGGGTCGATAATACTACCGCAATAGCTTACATTAACCGAATGGGAAGTGTTCAATTCCCAAAGCTGAATTCTCTGGCTCGAACAATTTGGCAATGGTGTGAAAGTAAGAATATCTATATCTTCGCATCTTACATCAGGTCATCGGACAATGTTATGGCAGATAGAGCCTCTCGCCACATACACATAGATACAGAATGGGCTCTTGCTGATTCAAAATTTCAAACTTTGATAAAAAAATTTGGTCATCCGGACATAGATTTATTTGCCAGTCGACTAAATAAAAAATGCAATGTTTATGTATCATGGCTTAACGACCCAGATGCTAGGGCCATAGATGCATTTACGTTAAATTGGTCGCAGTTTTTTTTCTATGCCTTCCCTCCTTTTTCGTTCATTCTGCGTACTTTGGAAAAGATCATCGCAGACAAAGCAGAGGGTATTTTAGTGGTTCCCATGTGGCCTAGTCAGCCATGGTACCCGATTTTTATGTCGCTTTTAGTTGAGGAACCATTGATATTCAAACCAATGCAATCTTCTCTCTTTTGGTAGATTGAAGCATCCGCTGTCGGCACACCTTTCTTTGATGGGAGGTCTATTATCAGGAAGGCGTTGCAACTAGGCCGAGTTCCTGAATCATCATTGGAAATTTGTATGGCATCTATATCTGAGAGCACATTAAAACAATATATATCAGGTTTGAAGCTATGGTGGGCATTCTGTGCCTCAAGAAATGCCGATCCTCATTCTGTTTCACCAGAAGGGGCTTTAGAATTTCTTACAATACAGTTTAACAAGGGATCCTCATACAGTTCACTTAATACATATAGATCCTCATTAGCTCAGATAGCGCCCGACCTTTCGCAGGATTTCAGGATCCAAAAATTCTTCAAAGGTGTTTACATGCTAAGACCTGGTATGCCCAAATATCAAAATACTTGGGATCCGTCAGTGGTTTTGGACTATCTTAGGAATCTAAAGAATTCAGAAGTTAATTTAAATATTCTTTCCCAGAAATTAGTTACCTTGGTAGCATTAGCTACAGGTCAACGTCTGCAAACATTAGCTTCCATAGATATAAATAATATACATAGAACCGAAGTGAAAATTGAGATTCCTATTCCTAAAAGAATTAAAACATCAGCAAGGAACAAGTTCCAACCACTATTAAGTTTGCCATTTTTGAATTCGGATCCTGAAATTTGCGTAGCGTCGACCTTGCTATCTTACTTGGAAAAAACAAAGCCGCTTAGAGGATCAATTAAGAGTCTATTTATTTCTGTCACTAAACCATATAAAGAAATTTCAAGACAAACACTTAGTCGTTGGGTCAAAAACATTTTGCGAAAAAGCGGTGTCGATACTGACAAATTTTCTGCTCATAGTACAAGACATGCGGCAACTTCAGCCGCAAACAGGAAAGGGGTTAATTTCGATACCATTAGACTTGCAGCAGGGTGGTCTAGAAATTCTAAGATGTTCGCTCAGGTGTATAACAGACCCCTCTTACCAGATATATCTTTTGCAGAAGCAGTTATGTCTACTAATACGTAGGTTTTTTCACTGTTTAGTTACTTTTACTTTGTTGCCTCCTTTATATTTGATATTTAAGATTTGCTAATTGAAAATATGTAGAGATTATCTTTTCTTTAAACTGATTATATATATTCAATTTAATTTGTGTTTTTGCTTTCTGCTTACTTAATTAACATTTAGGTTTTGTTATTTGAAAAAATATACCAGTGAAGTTTACTTTTCTATAAAATGAAATGTTGGTTTTCTTTTTTTTTTTTTTTGCAACTTTCTCTAAATATCTACATAGGATATTATTTACGAGACGAGGCCGAATATAATTACAAGATCAAACGAACTTACCTGTGATGTTCGATCTTGATTATATGAAGGCCTCGTCGAAGTAAATAAGGTCCCTCCCTTCATTTCCGCCCTCGAAATAGTTGCAAAAAATGGTTTTCAAATGAAGACTGAAGAATGCGCCTGGGTCACCCGGGGGCCGAAGGACAGGGGGTGCTGTTTACTTTAAAAGATGTGATCGATGGCGCCAGAGACGAAGGTACTACATAGGATATTATTTACTTCGACGAGGCCTTCATATAATCAAGATCGAACATCACAGGTAAGTTCGTTTGATCTTGTAATTATCTACCAAAAGTAGCTTAAGTAGCTTGTTTTAGTAGCTAGCTACTTTTCACAGTACCTTATGAATACTTGAAACACATTACCATAAGCTACAGCTACAAGCTACTTTTTTCTCACAGTAGCTTGAATAAGTTATTAGCTACCAAAGAAGTAGCTAAGCTAGCAGCTTAACTACTTGGTAGCTAGCTACTGCCCAGCTCTGACCTCAATATAGATGAAATTAATAAAATCATAGAGACTGGTTCAGCTGTCTAATCTGGATTGCTGTGGTGTTGTGGAAAATCCCATGTCTCTTATACCTTCATAGTCACTATGAAAAATTGTCAGTTTTTACTTGTCCTTGCTGTCTTGTTGTGTTTTATAACCTACGTACTCCTACTCAAACACAAATGTTGCTTGCCTAAATTCTAAATCTTAAATTTTAATTACCTACATGTACCTAATTATTTTTATTGTCCACATTTTGTTTATCAGTAATGTCCACTAAGGTGGTTTC